CCCACTCCTGCATTCTTCATCACTAATATACATTAAAAAAACCCAACAACTACAAAGCAACAAATTATAAACTGTGGTACAAACTGTTGGTCAGTCGGGAGGAGGAGAAGAGCAAAAATAACCCCAACAACTTCCTGGGACCGTGATCACACCGCTCATAAAATAATTGCATGACTTCAAATGCAGACGCACTGTCTATTCGGCCATCAGAACTTCCAACAGCGAGAAGTAGATTTAAGCTTGATATACATAGACACTTCCATCTTTTGTGCCATGCGGTTGGCTGTATATACTTAAATCTAGATGCAGTCATGTGATCTGAGGGGTATCCTGGTCTGACGTCAAACAAGATGGCTGCCTTACCTAAAAATAGCTTGCGTCGTTCTACGTTTAATCGCATGTCCCCTGGAACCCCCCGATTGGTTCAAGGTAGTGTCAATTGCCATCAAGGGATGCGGTGACAATTGACGCCAGCGTCAATTGCCACTGAGTAAATTGGAGCTCTTATTTGTGTTTGTGAGTAGATCTAGCCTGTATGTGCACGGTGTTCTGCGTTCGTGAACTTCCGACGCATGCCCCTGTGTTGTGTGGGGGCGGGGGTCTCTCTCTCCCCCTAACCCTCGTCCCCCGGATTTATGTTCCCCGATATATATATATATATATATAATAAAAAGAAGCGTATTTTTGCTTGAGTTTGTGTGCATTTGTGGCCTACTTCTAGAATCGCCTGTGCAGGTCCTACACCGAAGCATAGGCTTGGCTACGTCTAATTCAAAACATGCCAGGTTGAAGTCGGTAAATCTAGATGTTCGTCCAATGAAATTAGAAAACAAATTGACCCACTTAGATGTGAGGAGCTCGAAAGGATAGCCAGGAAACAAGACTTTCATTTTACTGTAAACAAAATCTTTCAAATGAGCTTGAATTTATGCAATTTTGATATTCGCTGATAAAAATAAGTTGAAAGATAGTTTTGAATACCATTGTGCAGGTAAAAAGAATTTGAGAGCAAAACATTTGGAAATTGACCTATACTATTTTCCTTTCGAACCCCAGAATAAGTGTAACTACTCGTTATAATGACTTACTCAACTTATGAGAGGGGGTTCGATCTAAATCTAGAGATCTAACTTATCCATTATGAATAGAAAGCTAAAGATAGAGCGTTGTTTTCATATACTTGACACTGCATCACTCGGTGGCAATGGACACTACCCACTCGATGGCAATTGACACCAGCATCAATAAAGTCAATTGCCACCGTGTCAAGGGTAAGGCGCCCATCTTGTTTTACGTCAGAGCAGGATACCCCTCTGATCACGAGACTACATCTAAGTATAGCCAACCGCATAGCACCAAAGATGGAAGTGTCTATGTATGTATACATTGAGCTTAACCTACCTTTCGCTGTCTGAAGTTCTGTTAGCCGAATAGATAGCGCGTCTGCGTTTGAAGTCATGCAATGATTTTATGAGCGGTTCGATCCCGATCCCGGACGTTGTTTTTTTTTCTCCATCCTCCCGACTGACCAACAGTTTGTCCCATAAATTATAATTTGTTGCTTTGCAGTTGTTTGTATGTATAGTATAAGGTTTTACGGCGCTCGCAACTGCTAAGGTCATATGAGCGCTTGTAGTTGTTTATTTTAAAAAATGTATATTAGTGATGAAGAATGTAGGAGTGCGGGATTCTAGATCTAGATTTCTAGATCTAATCCTCCAGCGTCTTTACGGCAATTTTTGTGTGGTTTATTGTCTTGGCATTTACCGTGTTTCAATTTCAAGAATCAGCGTTCTTAATCTTAACTGTTCTGAGCATCAACGATCTAGATCTAGATCTACTAAGCGATCTTCTATCATGTCCGAGTACTAGATCTAGATCTAGGAAAATCCGAAATGTTACAGAAAACACGGAGTCTGTGGGGTATCCAGGAAGTGATGACATCACATTACTAAAATTAGCAGCCGATCAGAAGATGCGCCTTCTGCGTTTGACGGCATGTCAATTGACGCTACCTTGGTCCAAAACGTAGACTATCTCTATTAAAACAATCAAATATTTCAAAAACTTTTAATTTGCGACGGACATGAAGTTGATATTCGTGTTCAGCGCATCAATAATTTAATAGAAAATGAACAACTGCTCTAAGTGTGAGATGGGAGGGAAAGTTAAAAAATACCAAAATGAGCAGATCTGCCTAATGGGAGACTGCCAGTCTTAACAAACGGAAAACGAAGTGGCTAGCCGTACTGTACGGCTCGTCTAGCTGTACTTAGATCTAAGTTTGGCCCTATCGACTCGAACCTGTTGAGTACACAAGTCTCATTAGATCTAGAAGTTATTCAGGTTTAAATAATGCAAGTCAGTAAGGCATCTTTTGGTTTTGTCTGAAATACAAATACGTTAGGCTTTGCAAACTAAAAATTTCATTTACAATTCAGCCATAAAGCCGTACTTAAATACAGCTAGCCAAGAAGCCTCCCAGTCTAGCCGTACTTATCTTAGGCCCTTTGCCTTTATTAACATTAGAAAACAGGAGGTTTGGTTTAAAATATAAGCACACTGTCGTCACTGTCCGTAAGTGTAAGACACCTGGTTTCGTCTAAAATACAAATAATACTAATACTTAAGGAAAGTTAAGGTACTACAAATTAAAAATCGAAGTGTATACAGACCCGGTAACCGGGAACAAAGTCACGAAGTATACAGACCCGGTAGGGGAACTCTTTTGTGAATTCGAGAAGTTTCAGCCCCCAGACCCGGTAGAAATCTAGTGTGTGTGTGTGTGTGTGTGTGTGTGTGTGTGT